CCCCCCCCCCCACCCCAATAGTTGTTTAATGTGGATAAAACATTTCAAAATTTAAATCCCCCTCTCTTCTGGAAAAATTTAACATTAATTTACTCTTCTGTTTTATGACATGGATAACTTAAGTAAATTAAAAAAATTACAATGTATTGTAAGTTAAAGTATAATGAAAGTTATCATGCTAATCCCAGAAGCTACCTGATGTTGAAAACAAAGAATATGAAAAATGATGATATGAAAATTAGTTCAGTATTTGTAATTATTGTAAAAACTGGCAATTCTGCTTCATTCCGTATTCCAGAATATGTTTAAGACAATGAGTATGAAAAGTGGGAATGGTTACCAGCTTCTCATGGGCTCAGAAAATATTGGTGTTATATATAATTATATTAAATATGGTTATGCACTATGTAATTAAACAATCATTTTCATTTTAAGTAAGCTTGTAATAATTAAAATATTTACACACAGAATTAAAATTCAACTGTTTTGAAAGGAAAAGACAGTATGACTATATGTACCCAAAGGAATGATAATTTAATTGTACATAAGAAATAAATATAATTAAGTTCAACCTCAAAGATTGAGAAACTATACTCAAGCTTTTAAAGACAACTATAAACTGTACAAATTATTATCATGGACATAATAAAATATGATATCACAAATAGAAGGGATAATTGTAGTATCAAAGCTACTCTTGACTTCATGAAAAGCTGAGTAACAGAAGATTATTAATAAAACAGGTCAGTAAATATTAATGATCAATACAATTAAAAAGCAACCTCCAAACTTCTAGGGATAAGAGAGATCAGATTTTCATTCAGAGAACTGATATAAAAACAACTATGGTACAATTCTGAATTTAAGTGTTTGAGGACAAAAATACAGAGTAATGATTTGTTTTCCCTAAGCAGATGTAGATATTATATATTCTCTGCTATGTCAGAATTTGTGATTATTCTAACAAAGAATGTATTTAATTAGATGTGTATCTGCTTTGGGCCTCATACACAATGTCCCGAGTCAAATTATTCTGTTTCATTTTTGTGCCAAAATGAGCAATATTTTATTATAAACAATTCTAGGTCAGCAATAAAGGGCATATGCTAATACAGGTAATTCTATAAAAAACTAAATCCAAATGATTCTCTTGCCACAAGGTAAACAAGACAAGAAATCATGGGAAAGCCAGCAGAAATAAAACTAGAATGAGGCATGTAAGTACAGACCTTATATATTTCAGTTAAAAAATAAATAAAAAGAAGTCCACTACCTTTGTTGACCTTGAGAATACTTACCATAAAGGGATCCTGGTGGCTAACAGGGCTCAAATTTAAAAACAGAACCTAGCAGCCATTTCTAAATGAGCCTTTCATGCAAACCACGCTGAAGGGAGAAGCCTGCACTAAAGCTGCCTGCCTTCTGCACTGAACTGCCCGCCTGCAGTTTCCTGTCAACTGAGCAAGCCCTTATAAAGGAGTTCCTAGAATCCTATTTTAACCCATAGGACTGAGACTTTCCCTGTCCAAATGGACCTGTACAACTATATCACTGTCAGCATCTTTACAGACCATTCCGAGTGGCTCCATTCTGCCCAATCAGGACAGTGACTTTCGGACCAAACTGTGAGGATTTGGAGTCCTCCTTTGCCCAAGGATGGACCAATCAGGTACCAGGGGCAGGCACTTCTCTCTAAGTCAGCCCCCCTTTGGTGCAGTGAAGACTTTCCCTGGCTGGAGCTGAAACACTGAAGACATTTTGCTGGACCAGAGCAGAGCAGATAAGAGTGGATCGGACCAGAGAAGGGCAGAGTGGAGCAGAGCTGTCTAGCCTGAGAGGGCCTCCTCCCAGCTGTGCAGTTCCACAGCTGTGTTATATAACAATGGAGTTGTTTGCACTGAACAGTTTCCTTCTTCACCACACCCCAAATTGGGATTCCTGTTGGCACTGTACTGGTACCAACCATATTGACTGACACCTTTAGACGAGTTCAAAGTTCAGTTTCATAAAACTGATTTTCAAGTGACACACAAGGACAGAATAGACAAAAGCTTTAGCCCAAGTATTTCTGGAGCTGCAAAGCTCCATTACTGTTTGATTATTCAACCGAAAGAATAAATACACTTTTACAATTATCCTTTCACATACTTCTCCTAAAAATTTCCTGCAGAGATATACAACATGCATGACTTCCTCTCTTCTGCACCTCAGGTTTTATGGTAATTAATTCTATTCTTGGCGATTTGTCATTTAGGACAGGTCTAGCCTCACTAATGCAATTGTTCCTTAGGAGTTTTATATAAATCAATTTACATTTAGAATATATTCCAATGAAATGCTATTTAAAGGGATGACATTTACATCTGGTAAAAAGAAATGTTCTTGTAAAAAAGGAAAGACTCTCCTTTCAAAAAAATAACCACCTCATCATGTGTAGTATTTAAATCTAAATTTCATATATTATGCTTGCTTAAAGTAACCTATTATTCAACAATTACTATAAAACTCCACCTTCATGAAAAAAGATGTGGAAAAAATTCATATGCTGTTGAGAAAGTATAATCCTAAAATTCTTATTCATGGGAATAGCTAATAAAGTTATTCTTGCAAAATGTTGATTTTAAACTATAAAACTGAGAATTTACTAGAGTTAATTTTACATACCTTGGACTTGTGGGAACCTCCCCAATTTTCATCCACAGACTTCAAGAATAGCTCCTGCATATAGCTGCCAAAGAAAAAACCAGAAATTAAAAAAACTAGTATAAATGTAGTTTGAATTTGAATAGGTAAGATGCTCTAGAAAGTTCTTCACATAATCTTAAATATTTCCTACAGTATTTTTAGGATACTAAACTGAACACAGGTATGTATCCATGTAGCCAACATAGATACTTAATGAGAATTCATTACAATTGCTTTAAAAATTAAATGATCATTGTTTTAAATTTAAACAAAACAAAAACACAATACCTTTAAAAAGTAAATATAGTGTGTACTATGTAAAGATATTATAGGAAAGCCAATAAAATCTTATTATAAAAAAACTTAAATGCAAATATTTTCTCTTAAGGAATTTAAGGTGAAATGAATTCAGTGGTAAATATTGCTTTTCTAGCTATAGGCCTGCGTTCTGTTTACAGTAAAAGCTCATTATAAAAAACTCAAACACAAATTTTTATTGCAATTAATTTAGCTGAAATGGATTCAATGGTAAACATCTTTTTTTTTGGTAGCTATAGAGCCTGCCCATTCTTTTTGTAGTGACTTGGGAATGCTGTGACTCTATGAGAAGGCAGACAATGAATAATAGGAACACATTATATCCATTTAATTTTTAATTGGCATTTAAACTTGTTTTTTAATTGTACATCCATGAGCTAAAGAAGGATTTTACCTTTAAAATTCTAAAATAGCATAAAAATCACATGCACTATGGTTACTTTAGGTACTTTGGAAAATAAAGAAAAGCACAGAGCAGAAATTTAAAAATCACCTTAATTATATCTTCCCAAAAGGTATTGACTTTTTCACATTTTGGTGATTCTGGGATATATCAATTATTCTTAAGATTTTTAAGTGTCAAAATACTTTTGAGAATCTGATGGAAGTCTGCTTTTTTTTTTTTTTTTATATCTTTATTGATTTCAGAGAGAAGGAGGGAGGGGGGGAGAGAAAACCAATAATGAGAGAGTCGCCACTGATAGGCTGCCTCCTGCACACACCCGAATGGGGATGGAACCTGCAACCTGGGCATGTGCCCTGACTGGGAATTGGACCTCGATCTCCTGGATCCTAGGTCAATGTTGAGCCATGCCTGGCCGGGTGGAATTCTGCTTTAATTCAGGCTATTCATGGACTCTCCTGAACCACTGATGGATTTCAGATGAAAAACTCTGAAGATCTCTAAGATTCTTTGTAGCAATAAAAATTTAAGATCAGGCTAACTTAATTCTATAAAATAAGTTGCTTTTGAATAAGATTTGGTTAATCTTAGTTAGACAAGTCTCCCCACCCACAAATATCTTTAAAAATATCAGGCAATATTACCAAAAATCTCATAAAGATGTTCAACATCACTAATTATTAGGGAAATGCAGATCAAAATCACAGTGAGATAGCACTTCACTGGCTATTATAAAAAACAACCAAAAAACAACCAAAAAACAAGTGGTGGTGAGGATGTGGAGAATTTCATCAGAATTAAGAAAATTTAAAAAGGCCACTTTAAAATTTGGTTATTAGATTTATCTTTCATTTGCAAGTCTGTGACCCCTTAGGTCTCTAGTGGAGATTCCATTACTTTATATAATAGCATTTCTCTACCCCACTATTTCCAGTGCTCTTCATATCATCACACGTGGGAAATGGTAACAACCGTGGAGCACTGGGCTAAAAGGAGGCTGCTTATAACTGGCCCCTGCTCACTTAGTCCCCATTTGGTTGTCCTAAGCACTGAAGGACTCAGTATCCTAGCACATTTATAAGTCATTCATGGAAAGCACTTCTCTGCACCACAAAACACCAACTAATTAATTAAATTACAATCTCTAATGAACAGGCAGCAGCTCAGATGTGACCATCTCCAGGAAAACTTTCTTCGGTCTCCTACTCTCAGTTGGGGACTTTCACAGAATTCTGTTCTCATCATAATGTACTATAAATAGTCTGTAACTTCACTGTGGACAGGAAATGTCTTATTTATCATAATTCCCTCAGAACAAGACACAAAGCTGCTCAATGTATGTGTGCTGAATGGAGAGAATTATTCACTTAACAGAATTAAACATTTCTTTTTTCATCATGTAACTTCCAAAATACTTCAAGTTCCTTTAACATACTTTGTAAAGTAGATTGTGCTTAGTTCCAGTCTTCAGTAAACAAAAAGAAAATGTAACTCAAAGCTGCGTAACATTATTAAAGTCAAATTCTAAAAGATTTAATATGTGATGCTAAGTTGGCATTTTACTTATGAATCTGTAGTGTTTATAGGAAAATGTTTGTTTTTCATGGTGAATAAATGAATTAACTACAAATTGTGGTAAATTTTCAATGCCTTTAAAGTAATCATAGGAATCTTGGGCATCACACAAATTCACACCCAAGGAAATACATGCTATGTAAAATAGGAATTCTCAAAGGCATAAACTATGAAAGGAGCAGGAAAGGTAAAAACAACTTTCAATTCCTTGACTTTCACCCTTATCATTTTTACCCTTTAAAAAAAAAATGACTTCCGAGAGAGAGGGGAAGGAGGGGAGGAGGGAGGGGGGAGAGAGAGAAACAGCAACGAGAGAGGGGTACATCGATCGGCTGCCTCCCGTATGTGCCCCAAGTGGGAAGCAAGCCAGCAACCTAGGAAGGTGCCCTGAGGGAAACTGAACCTGTGGCCCTCTGGTGGAAGGGGGGACACTCCAGCCAACTGAGCCACACCCCCAGTGCTCATTTTTACCTTTCTTTTTGTTAATCCTCACCCAAGGATTATTTTTCATTGATTTTTCAGAGTACGGAAGGGGGGGGAGGAGAGAGAGAAACATTGATGTGAGAGAGACACACTGATTGGTTGCTTCCCACACGCGCCCCAGCCGGGGCTGGGGATTGAGCCTGCAACCCAGGTACATGCCCTTGACCGGGAGCTGAAGCAGGGACCCTCAGTCGTGGGCAATGCTCTAACCACTAAGCAACCTGGCTAGGGCTAATTTTTACCTTTTAAAGTAACATCACTGGCTTACAAAAATGCTGACCTTCAAACATTTATGCAAAAATACCAATAGAAGAGAAATCAAAGAAGCAAGTTATATAAATTTTATATAGCAAATTTGTATTTTTTTATAGCAAGTTGGTGGGCCTCTTTTCTATATGCATTAGAGAAGCCTTATTTGTATAGAAACTCTAACTCTAGGCACTATAGGTCATTATTCCATTGGGCTTCTATAGTACTAGCCAAATAATTTAAATGGAAATACACAGATACCTTTAGAAAAATACAAAAATGATACTCCAAATTGCATTTTCCCCCTTTGGAGTTCATAACTATTTCCATATTACTTACAATTTCCAAGTTTTCCTAAACTTCTGATAGAATCCTCTAGGTGGGAAGAAGACATATCTAACTATTTCAGCTCTATAACTAATTTACCTTATTTGTAACAAGATTTTTGTATATACTAATTTTCCTCTCATTTAAAAATAAGTGACTTTTATTTATTATTCTTAAAATAATTTCAGCTTTGCAGTTAGCTAATTTTCCCCTGGTTTAAATAAATATACCTTCAGTATAATAAAGATTTATTTGTATGCATATCAGTTTTAGCTTCTGTACATTTCATATATTTTCACTGTAGAAAGGTTTCCCTCATGAATTACTGTTGGAATATATGATCATCAACCCCCCCATACCCACCTGAAAAACCTCTTGTTTATAAAATTTTAGTGAGGGCTTACAATGAGGTTTTTTATTTTGTGGTGATAACTTTGTTGTAAGTAAAGCCTAACTGTGTTGCTACCAAATAGTTCAGATTAACAGCAAGGCAAAAAAATGGACTATGCTATTTCTCATATAGCTAGATTCCAAAATAAATTAATTCATAACACTGAGCAAAGGGAACACTTGTGAGTTATGTACATTTCCTGAATTTTTAAAAAAGTGCTGCATTTGTTAACTTTTACTGACACTATCACACCACCAACACAAATCTATAAACCTGGTCCAAGTCAGAAATATTCTACTACTTTCCAACACTAAGCACTTAATATATTTTTGTTGGTGACGATATCTATGGCTCTAAAGAAACATGACAGTAAGGAAATCTTGAAATAAACTAAGTCGAACTAAATATCAAAATTTTAATACAGTACGGTACTGTTAAATTAAACAAGGAGGCCGTTAGACTGGGTTGGTTCTAAGGCATTAGCAGCCTATGTAAGCAAACCACACCCTAAGTGTGTAAATCAAGGGTGGGGGAGCCCATGGCCTGCCAGTGAATTGATTTCTGCTCAAACTATTAAAAATTTTAATATGCTTGTTTATCTTTTAACAGTATAGTGAAAAGAACTCAAATTATAAAATCAAATGTGTATGTAATTCAATTTTGGCTCCACTATTTACAAGCATGTCCCCTTGGATGAGTCACTCTCTCTGAGCTTCAGTTTATTGTTTGAACAAAATATATTCCCTACCTCCCAGAGCTGGTGTAAGGAGTCAACAAAAAGCAAAAGGCCTGGAATGTTTAGATGCTCAGTAAGTAACAATAGCTATTATGATAATACTTTCATACTATTGGCTAAGTTTAAGATGTGTATTCGAAATCTGTTTTCATAGTTGATAGTTTTCTGTTCTGGGACTATTCAGGGCTATCATTTGTTGTTCTGTAATTAGAATGGCCATTCCAAAAACTTCTCAAGCTTTCAAATTCAAAAATATGTTAGAGCAGTGTTTTCAACGTTGACTGTACACTTGAATTAGCTGGAAAGATTCTGAAAATTGCTGATCCCTGGAACCTACCCCTAGTCCCACTACATTTGAGGGTGAGATCCAGTCATCAGCATTTTAATTATTGTTATTACTTTAAAAGCTACCCAAATGATTGTAATGGGTAATCAGGGATGAAAATAGAATCATTGCCTTGGACTATAGCCAACTATTAATGAGGCAAAAATCACAAAACAATCAAACAGTAGGCTTTTGCTCAACAGACTAAAGAAATTAATTCTAAAATTTAAATCAGG